AAAACTATGAGATGTTTACTACACCACTTTTCAAAGAAAATACACATTGATCAATAAAGGACAATAATGTCACAAAAAAATCAGTAAAATTTAAATAATGTACTTAGATACAAATAAGTATCAAAATTAAGGACTTAATTACCCAACATTTTTTTCTATATTTTTTTTTTTTACAATTAAGTCTAATTTGGTGTACCCTCTCTGCTTGACAAAATTCCTTGTTGTTTCCTAACCTCTAAACATCACCTTTTAGCATGTATAGTATATGGATGAAGGGGAGTGTTACTCTCCTTGGGATGATGTCAAAAGAAAGGGCAACGAAATGGTAGATGAATGAAATGTCAAATGTGTGTGTGTGTGTGTGAACAAAAATGCTCCCCAAGCGCAAGGAGATTTTCACGAATCGTGTTTTACTTGGTGGTATTCCAAGGTCGTTTCCACGGAGAAGGAAGTAAACCGAGGGGAAGGTGATTTTGGGAGAAAGAAAGTGTAAAATCTTTTGATTATTGGAAGTTGTTTTGATGCTAGTAAAATAAGAAACAAATGTTGACAAATCCAAGAAGTCACTCCAATAGGAATATTGTCTCAACTTGAAACCCTCCTCCAATAGAGCATGAATAAACGATTGATTCGTGGGAAGTTAGGGATAAGATTGATGAGTATCTAAGTATAAACCGTGACTAGGCCCACGGAATATCAAAGACTTACCAAGTTATCCACCCTCAACCCAGTCAAACCAAACCATTAAATTCTGAAAGAATGGAGGAGAATGAGTTGAAAATGGTATACCCAAGTGGAGGTTCCCCTTGGTTTTGCCAACTAAGAGATTTAGCTATTCATGCTTAAAATAAAGACAACAATATGATGAGAAGACATTATGAAGAAATAAAGACTAGAGCAAAATATAAACGAAATGCATATCTATAACTTCCGGATAATCACCTCTTACTAAAGATTGGATGAGAAACTACTCACTTTTCATGACTTTGTTAAAGCTAGAAAAGTGAGTGATGCTCATCCCTCCAAGTAGAGGAGTTACAAGGTAAAACACTTTACACAAGGAGCCGATCTTCGACAAAGAATGAGTGAATCACATTCCACCCTTCACAGCTTTGGTAAATCTCTAAAAAAGTGGAAGACTTTCACTCCTCTAAGAGAAGAAGGAAGTTCAAGCAATGAAAGTAAAAGAAAGCAATAACACAATAAAAGAAAGCAATAATTAAAGTAAAAGAAAGGAATAAATTAAAAGGAAGTAATAATACAATAAAAAAAAGCAATACTTAAAGAAAACAATAAGGAAAGCAATAATATTTTTGGAGGGTTTTTCACTACTAAAAGATGAATGCTTTACAAATCCTAAGGGGTGATATTTATAGGCAACAAGGGAGGGTGAAAGTCTTGTTAGGTGGCTTTGAATTACATGAAAGTCTTGTTTGGTAGCCTTGAATTACATGAAAGTCTTGTTTGATAGTCTTGAATTATTTGATCCCCCTTTGTTTTGAGCTTTGATAATTGGCATCCCAGTAGTTTGCAGTTTTAATGCAATTGGCTCCCCAATAATTTGTAACTTTGACGCACAAAACCCTAAAAAGAACAACAATTAATGCATTATCATTTATTTACACACTAACCCTAATTTGATTTATTTTGACTAGTTTAATTTTATTCAACTAACACAATTTACCTATTGAATTATGTCTTAATTAGGGTTAATCACACCCTTCCAATTTTCTCAATATTAGGAACTTTTGAAGTTTTTTATCTTTTTAAAGACGAGAAAATATTTATTACAACGATGATACTATGTGACAACATTGATATGATATCAACAATTAATAATATTTAATTAGATAAGTAAATAAGTCCCACTAAAATTATAGTAATTTTATGTTTACTAAGTTTCTTATCAAGTTTTTCATTTCAAATAATATCCACAATCTCCATTATTAAATATTAATAGAACCTACTTATTTGATGATAAAAATTGTGTCATGTCACTTGAGATGGCAAACTTGGTAACAAATCTTGGTCAGTATAGCATTGTTACTAAAATTAATAACTATCTACTCTTCTTCTATGTAATCAAATAATTACTCAAATAAAGTTCACTTTATTCACCTAGTGTTTTACTATTTGTTGGTGCTACCACGTTGCATTCAATATTACCTCCTTAAAAACACACTTGTTTAAAATATCAAGTGTGTAGCCCAAAGTTATTGTTTTTGAAAATTTATATGACAAAAATACCCTTTAGAATATTCTACCACTTTCGTCTCCTCTCTAGCCTCGAATTCTCTTGTCTTCCAGACTTATTCAAAACCCTAGGCCTAGAATACAATGAGAAATTCCTTCTTTCAATTAGTAACGAAGCTCGTATGAAGTGGTGCTCTCCGTAGTGCAGGCAAAGCAAGAGAGACTACGAAATTGAGACAGAACAAGAACGATGATTATTAGGCCAAAGCAGAAGTGAGGCTACGAAACTGATTTCGGTGTAGACTATGCGTTCATTTAAGTATCCAAATATCAAAATAGGAGAAAGACTTTTAAGTGCAAATCCATTATTGAACTTGTCGCCAATTACATCAGGTTACAATGTTGAGTTTGGTCCTAACCATTCTAAAATGGATTGGCCACCGAAAACACCAATTTTTTTTTTTGAGTTGTTAAGAGCATTTTCAATCCTTAGCCAAACTCATAAATTTGAGAAAAAAACAGGTTAGAAACAACCCCCCAGTCCTTTATTTAAATTCTTACCAAATGAAGGAACACTCAATTTTTTTACTCAAATTAAGGGAATCTCAAATCTTTAAGGTGCGGACAGTGGGGGTAGTTGCCCCCACTCCTATTTTAAAATTTTTTGGGCTTCATATAAAAATTTTAAAATTATTTAGGAGTTGCCCCCATTAAAAGTTAGCCAAAAAAAAAATAAGAGGCAAATTTTTACAAATATGGATATAGAAAAAATTGGATTCGGTTGTGATCCGATATGATTACATACACACAAATACATATATATATTAATTAAAATTGAGTTATTATTTAAAGATATTGTGTTGAAATTGAATGTAATGTATTAAAATTCACCTCTAATTTAATTATATGGATGAAAATAATTTTTTTTTAAAGGATTCGATATGAACCGTAAAACTTGGGTTCTTTGAATAATCACAACGAATACAAATTAAGTTTTTAAATCGGATTTGGATAAATTGATATTCTATTCAAATCTTATTGTTAACAAGCATACTAATGATTTATTTATAAGGCACAACGAGAATGGGTGATGATCATCTGTTACTAGTTGCCCCCATTATGAAGAATTCCTAGCTCTGCCATGAGTGTCAAGACTGCAGATGTCCTAACAATAATGAAACTTAAAATTTTATCTTATGTTTGGGGAACTAATTCTGAGATTTAATTCAATATAGTCATTAAATTAGTTGTGAGTTTTAATATCATATGAAATTAATTCTTAATCGCACAATTATAATTGATTAAGTCCTTCAATTAAAAATGAATAACATTTTTCTATGTAATATGATTCAATTTTCATCTGAGTACATAAAAAAATTCAAACTCAATTGAGTAGTCAAAGCAGAAAGCTTATTTAATTGGTTTGAAGCAATTTAAGAGCAACTTCATTAGCCATTAGGGAAAATGTTATTGTGAAGATCTAATCAATTATAATTTTTGAGATAAAAATAAATTAATTATAATTGTTGAATTAAAAAATGAGTTTCTTCAAGCTCACAACAAACTCAATTGTTATTTGAGCAAAATATTATTATGACATAATTTAGGGAATTAAGGATTGTGAATGAGTACAAATATTAAATAGACCCGACTATCAATCGAATGATTACACCACATTAAGTTTCAAATTATATCTCAATAATATTAGTGTTGTTACGAGCAATGTTATTTGAGTCTAATTTGCCAATTTCTTCATTCATATTTATTGAATTGATGATGGACATCAGTATTTGTTGGGATCAACAATCAATCATATGATTATGATTGATTAGGTTACTAAATTTAATAATGTTATTTGAATTTAATTTGTTGATTTAATTGAGTTCTAATAAATACTGAGTCTATCGTCAATTCAATAAATTATGAATAATTAAATCTTTATAGCATTATTCTAATAAATTGTGTCAACAAATAATATAAAATGAGTTAGATCCTGATTAGGTTCGACAGAATTGATCTCATTGAATGGTGAGTACTGTCATTTACCACGGAAGAAATCTGTGTCGCTTTCATTTTGTATGTGGTGCAATGCTAACCACTACTTAGAATAAAGTACATTTGTCTCTTTCACTTTGTATGTGGTGCAAGGCGAACCACCACTTAGACTAAAGTACAAAACGCTTAATGCTTAATAATGACGGATTGAGAGGGTCTTAAGTAAGCATTTAAGAGAACATCTAGGTGAACTCAATGTAGTTGAATCGATCATCGGAGATAGTCAAAGGAATTTTGATGTTTAAATCAAATCATGAGTTAAAAAAAAAGTATAGAATAAATAAGTCAAGATTGAATTGAATTACATAATACCCGTGATATTTATTTATAGTAATAGGGAGATGTTTTCAAAAGAAATCAAAATTCTTGATTGATTGGCTCAACTCTGTCACAAAGTGCTATAAGTATGTTGTAGAATTTGATTAGGACTCGGAGTCCTCGGTCCTAATCACCGACCTCTGATTGCGCGGAGTAATCTTTTATTTTAACTCTAACTCCTTAATATCTCGTTGCCAATTCTAAGATATTTGGGATGATATTAAATTTGAACTCTAGGTCTTAGGTTGATAACCGAGTGAGACTCACCCATAATTGCCTTAGGTGCCAAAAGAAGAGGGAAGACCTGTCCAAGCCTCTTGCCGAATGGCTGCACGTGTTGAGTGGCATGGCCTTCTTGGTGACTGACATTGGCCTTGGTTAGCACATTCCTCACAAACCAGATACACACCTACACACACACACACACACAGAGAATGGACGTCATGAACGGAGAAGTAGAATCAAGCTATGCTCAACACTCATTCTTTACGGTATGCTCTATTTTCCATATATCAACTTATTTTTGTCAGAAAGTTCTTCCATATCATCATATATCAATCTATAATTGAATCAAAATCATTTTGCACAAGAATTTTCTCTTCAAATTTCTCCCCAATCGAACTCGTTTACGGCATGTTCTACTTTCCAAACATCAAGTTATTTCTTCTGCTCAAAAGGAAAATCATTCACAAACAGAACTTAGTTTGTCAGAAACTTCACCCAAATCATCATATCAATCTATAGTTATCGCAAGATCATTTTGCACATCAAATTCCGCTTCAAATTTCTGATTAATCAACATTATTTGCAGATCAATTCAATCTTCTGATCATGTGCAGCAAAAAGTGATTTCCATAATCAAACCTGTAGTGGTAAATGCAGTTCATTCTCTGTTCTCAGAAGATTTCCACCGGAAAAAAGTTCTCAACGTGGGCAATCTCGGTTGCGCGGCCGGTCCGAACACGTTCTCCGTCATTTTAACCGTGAAAGAAAGCTTGGAGAGGAAATGCAAGGAGTTAAATTGCCAACCGCCGGAGCTTCAGGTTTACTTGAATGATCTTCCTGGTAATGATTTCAATTCACTCTTCAAAGACTTGTCTAGAGTCGGTGAAGATCAAAAGAGTGATGTTCTTCTTCCATGCTTTGTGATGGGAGCTCCTAGTTCTTTCCATGGCTGCCTCTTTCCTCGCAGCTGGTTGTATCTTGTTCATTTCTCCTACAGTGTCCACTGGCTCTCTCAGGTTTGCATCAATCTTCGTACTCTTTTTAAAACAAGAAATCCGAAGTAGGCATCTCAAAACTTCATGTGGTGTTGTATTTTTAAATGACATAAAATTATTAATTATTGTTTGTGCCTGAAGGCAAAGAATAATAAAAAAATAGTCAATAATAAACATATTTGTATTCATATCCAAAATCAAATCACAAACATAGAGAAGAAATAAATGAATTTAAACATCGATTGTAGTAAGGGTAAGAGGTGGTGGGCGGCAATGGTGGTGGTAGGAGACGGTGATGGTTGTGGTGGGCGGCAATGACCGTGGTGGTGGTAGCCGTGGATGACAATAGTGATGGTAGTAATGACAGTCATGCGTGACAGTGGTGGTGGTGATGGGTGTGAGTGGCCAACGGTGATGGTTGTTGCCAGTCGTCGACGATGGTGGTGGCGGTGGTGGGTGACGACAGATGCTTCTGGGCAACAATATGATGGGTGGTGGCGAATGACAGTAGTGGTAAGTGTGGTGGGGGTGGGTGATAGTGGTTTTTAACGACGGGTAGTGGTAGACAACAATATGATGGTGGTGGGTGACGACGATAGTCACGAGTTAATGTTGGTAGTGATAATAAATATAAGAATGAGATGACGATGATGGCGGCGGCAATGGGGTAGTGTAGGGGTAACAGTGGCGGTTGTAGTGGTGATGGTCGTGGGGCGGTGGGGGTGGGGGTGGGGTGGTAAGGATGGTGGTGGGACTACAACGGTGGTAACAAGGGTGGTGGTAATAGGAATGGTGGTGGTGGTGGTGGGGTGGCAGTACTAGGGATGGTAGTGGTGAGACAGTGACAGTGGTAATGGTGGTGGTGGTAGTAGAGTGGTGGTTGCAGTGGTGATGGTGGTGGTGGGGCGATGGGTGTGGCAGCGTCGATGGTGGTAGTGGTGGTGGGGTGGCGACGATGATGGTAGTGGTGATAGCGGTGGGGTGGTGGTTATAGTGGTGGTGATGGGACGGTTCAAAATATTACTTTTTTTGTTGAAAATAGTTATACAAAATTATAAGTTCTTGAAGTACTTTTAAAAATTCATCTCAAACACACTCTTAGGGGCTTCCTTTTTCTATTAAATTTAAGTTGTTAATATTGGTCGTTGGATTAATTTTAAAGTAAAATTTGAAAAGATCTCAACTGCGAAAAACAAAAGTCATTTTGTTTATCTTTTGGAATTTGAATTATATTGTACTTTATTATATAGATATTTTGCCAAAATTTATTCAACTTAAATTTAATCTATTTTAGGTTTGTGACATGTTGGGTTTTTATTTAGCCAAATGTGTATTATATTTATCGTGATTCGTATCAACTTATTTACTTTATATGTTCTATAGTTCAATCGATAATCATCCAAATGATCCAAAAACAAATTCAAACCCATTCTCTTCGTTTGGCTCTGGATCCTATGTCGAATGTACAAGGTGGATTCGTTTGGTTGTCGTATTGTAAAAGGATGGACTAGATAAAGTAATCCAGTTAACACAGTATAGAAGGACAAAAGACAAGATTAAATAGGATAATAGAATAATAAGTAATTTTATCTAGCGATTGACAATACATAACATAAATATTGGATAATAGTTATTTAATTCAATCGATTGTTTGGTAACGAAATTATTTTATCGTATTAATATTGAATTAACAAAATACCTTCAATCAGTGTTTGTTACATTGATGACAATTTGATTCAATCTGTTGAAGGGTTATAATAGTAAATGTATAGAATAATACGTTTAAGTTAGAGTATAATACCACCTCTTTTCATGGTATTAAAATATCTCCATAATGAAAGTCTATCGTATAAAAAAAATACGATTAGTATACATTTTTGAAATTAATACAGTATCAAATGTGCTTACCAAACAAAGTATTAGTCTCAATTGAATAAAAAATAGTACAATCCAATATTTAATTCGCTCATAATACGTTTACCAATTGAGTCCGTCGTGTTTGAATTGGCAGTCTTAATCCTTAGGATTAATTGCTCTGGAGGTCCCTAAAGAATATAGTTTGTCTCATTTTGGTCCATAATATTTTAATTACACTATTTTCGTCCATAAAGTATTGAATATATTTTTATGTGGTCCCTCAAACAGACAACGTCGTTAATAATTGTTTATTATAAATTTATCACTTGATACCTAAATATGAAAAAAAAAAAAAAAATTTGGATAGCTCTTAACTAAAATTTGGATAGTTCTTGACAAAAAATGTGTAATATGGGTAGTTCTTTATTGGGAAAGACCCGCAAAAAAAACTTTTTATACCATGCCATGTTTTGCTGCTAAGAAGGTTTGAAGGGGAGACCTCATTAAAGAGTTTTGAGTTGTTTCCCTTGTTTTTCTTGTTTTCTATTTTGGCTGAAAAATTCAGAGATGTTTTTGTTCTCAATTCCCACTTTTTTTGAATTTTTTGTTTGGAAATTGCAGTCCAAATAAAATCTTAAGAGTTTTACTATTTTTGAGAATAAAAAACTGTTTTGGAGAACAAATCATGCAAACCAATATTGTATTGATCATTGTAACTCTAACTCTAGCTTGATAAATTTTATTGTGTTTGATTTTGTTTTCTCCCTGAATTAATCTTCAAGTGCTGAGTTGGGCAAACGAGATATCAAAGTATTCCATGTGGAGCATCACGCTGTTTCCTCCCTTTATATAAACATGGGGGGCTCGTTTTGGGATTCCAGCAATTTGCTTGGTGGTTGTTACTCTTCAGCTTTTCTTGAGATCATCTTCTTACATTCGTGTCAAACCATCTAGAAGTCGAATCACAAGCTTGTTTAGAGTTATTGTGGCGGCTTGTATAAAGATTTAGCTTTTGTGCCCACAAGATCCTAGGGGGCTCTACGAGAAGTATGACCTTGGAAATGATCAGGAGCTACTGCCTCACACAAACTGTCTCAGGTGATGACCTCTGTCCTTGTTAAACTACCATCTATTCTAAAAGCTTAAACTGTTAAAAAAACATGTAACATAAATGTTTATATAATATCCCTTTCCTCAATTGCATGACAGGTGAGGTTGTGGAAACAATTTGGCTTGCTGGGGTTAGGGAGGACATTTAACGATATGTCACTTAGAACATTGTGACTTTCACATTCAACATCTTGAATTATTTCTCTTAACACGTCCTTAATCTAGCAGGTTTCTAGACAAAGCAGCCATCCTAACCCAATCCCAAACTATTGAGGAACAAGAGAACCAGAAATGGAGGCTTTGCAGGATCACTGAAGTGGAAGAAACTAAAATATTCTTCACAATGATTCCTATGTTGATGGCTTTTATCATATGTGGAATTGTCTCCTCAATGGGGACCTCTTTTTTCCTAGAGCAAGCCATGAGGATAACTCATAGATTCAGGTTCTTAACATTCTCATTCCTTATATTCTTCTATGCATTCTCCATGTAAATATCCGCAAACATTTATGCTTTAATTGCAATCATCGGAAGCATTTTTGGAATGGTGAAGCAAAAACACATACCTGCAAAGGAATTGGATTTGGAATCATGATATCCATTTAATGCTGCATTGTCGCCTCGCTGGTGGACCAAAGGAGGTTAAATGTGGCCAAGGGACATGGCCTAATCGACGTCCCTCATAGCACAATCTGAATGAGTATTTTTCGGTTGATTCCTCAGTTTCTCCTCTTAGGTTCTGCACAAGGGATTGTCCTCAGTAACATGACCCATTTTTTGGTCGATCAAGTACCTAATTCAATGCAGTCATATTTGAGCAAACTCACTGAAGCTTTCTTGGGAGTTGGATTCATAGCTAGTGTTCTAACAAGTGAAATATTGGAATGAAAATGAGACAAATTTTATATTTTGAAACCTCCACTACAATTAACCTTGAGGATTAAGACTGTCAATTATATACACGACTTGTACATCTGACATAGGATCCAGAGCCAAACAAAGTGAGTGGGTTTGAATTTATTTTTAGATCATTTGGATAATTATCGGGTGAACTATAGAACACATGAAGTAAATAAGTCGATACTTAAATATAATACACATTTTGCTAAACACAAATCCAACATGTTACAAACCTAAAATAGATTAAATCTGAGTTGAATAAATTTTGAATTGATTTAAAAATACGACACCACATGAAGTATTGAGATGCCTACTTCGGATTTCTTGTTTACAAACAGTATGAAGATTGATGCAAACCTGAAAGAGCCAGTGGACACTGTAGGAGGAATGAACAAGATGCAACCAGCTGCGAGGAAAGAGGCGGCCATGGAAAGAACCAGGAGCTCCCATCACAAAGCATGGAAGAAGAACATCACTCTTTTGATCTTCACTGAATCTAGACAAGTCTTTGAAGAGTGAATTGAAATCATTATCGGGAAGATAGTTCAAGTAAACCTAAAGCTTTGGCGGTTGGCAATTTAACTCCATGCATTTCCTCTCCAAGTTTTCTTTGACGGTTAAAATGACAGAGAAAGTGTTTGAACCGGCCGAGCAATCGAGAACAGCCACGTTGAGAACTTTTTTTCGCTGAAAATCTTCTGAGAACAGAGAATGAACCGCATTTACCAGTATAGGTTTGGTTATGGAAGTCACTTTTTGCTGCACACGATCAGAAGATTGAATCGATCTATAAATAATGTTGATTAAATAGAAATTTGAAGCGAAAATTGATGTGCAAAATGATCTTGCGATAACTATAGATTGATATGATGATTTGGATGAAGTTTTCTTACAAACTAAGTTCTATTTGTGAATGATTTTCCTTTTTGAACAGAAGAAAATAACTTGATGTTTGGAAAGTAGAACACGGCGTAAACGAGTTTGATAAGGGAGAAATTTGAAGCAAAATTCTTGTGCAAAATGATTTTGATTTAATTATAGATTGATATATGATGATATGGAAGAACTTTCTGACAAAAATAAGTTGATGTATGGAAAATAGAGCACACCGTAAAGAATGCGTGCTGAGCATAACTTGATTCTACTTCTCCTCCGTTCATGAAAAGTGTTTCCATCACGTCCATTCTCTCTCTCTCTCTCTCTAGCAATCAGGGATTGGTGATTAGGATCGAGGGCTCAAAGTGCTAATTAAATTCTACCATGTACTTATAGGACTTGGTGATAGAGTTTAGCCAATCAACCAACAATTCGAGTTTTCTTTACAAAAAAAAAAAAAGAGTTTCTTTACGACATATCTTCCTACTACTATAAATAAAGGCCACAAATATTAGGTTATTCAATTTAATCTTGACCTATTCATTTTATGCTTTATATTTTGCCTCACGATCTGATTTAAACGTCGGAGTCTCTTTGACCACCGTCACCAACTATCGATTCACCCTAAGTTCAGTTCATCTAATTCTTATCTTCAATGCTTACTCACCACCCTCTCAATCTGTCATCTAAATATTATCTTCAATGCTTACCACCCTCTCAATCCCCCGTTTTGTACTTTAGTCTAAGTGCTGCTTAGCTTTGGACCACATACAAAGTGAAAAGAGATTTGGACCATGATTAACCCTAATTAATGCATAATTTAATTAAGTTAAAAGATCAATTATATTAGTTAAACAAAGTTAACTTAGTCAAATAAGTCAAATTAGGGTTAGTGTGTGAATAAAGGATAATGCATTAATTGTTATTCTTTTCGGGGTTTTGTCCATCAAAGCTACAAACTACTGGGGATCTCATTACATTAAAGCTACAAACTACTGGGGTGCCAATTATCAAAGCTCAAAACAAAGGAAGATCAAAGAATTCAAGGCCACCAAACAAGACTTTCATGTAATTCAAGGTCACCAAACAAAACTTTCATGTAATTCAATGCCACTAAACAAGACTTCCATGTAATTCAAAGCCACCAAATAAGACTTTCACCCTCCATTGTTGCCTATAAATACCATCCTTTAGGAGTTGTAAAGTATTCATCTTTTGGTAGTGAAAAACCCTCCAAAAGTATTATTGTTTTCCTTATTGCTTATTGCTTTCTTTAAGTATTGCTTTCTTTTATTGTATTATTGTTTTTTTTTATTGTGTTATTGCTTTCTTTTACTTTCATTGCTTGAGCTTCCTTCTTCCCTTAGAGGAGTGAAACACTTCTACTTTTCTAGAGCTTTACCCAAGCCGTGAAGGGTGAAACGTGATTCACTCATTCTTTGTCGAAGATCGGCTCCTTGTGTAAAATATTTTACCTTGTAACTCTTCTACTTGAAGGGATGAGCATCACTCACTTTTTTAGCTTTAACAAAGCCATGAAGAGTGAGTAGTTTCTTATCCAGTCTTTAGTAAGAGGTGATTATCTGAAAGTTATATTTATGCATTTCGTTTATGCTTAATGCTTGTCTTTATTTCTTCATAATGTCTTCTCATCATATTGTTGTCATTATTTTAAGCATGAATAGCTAAATCTCTTAGTTGGAAAAATCAAGAGGAACCTCCACTTGGGTATACCATTTCAACTCATTCTCCTCCCCTCTTTGAGAGTTCAATGGTTCGGTTTGACTGGGTTGAGGGTAGATAATTTGGTGAGTCTTTGATATTCCGTAGGCCTAGTCACAATTTATGCTTAGATACTCACCAATCTTATCCCTAACTTTCCATGAATTAATCATTCATTCATGCTCTATTGGAGGAGGGCTTCGAGTTGAGATGATATTCCTATTGGAGTGACCTCTTGGATTTGCCAACATTTGTTTCTCATTTTACTAGCATCAAAACAACTTTACCAAACAACTTCCAACAATCAAAGATTTTACACTTTCTTTCTCCCATAATCACCTTCCCCTCGGTTTACTTCTTTTCCCATGAAAACGATCTTGAAATACCACCAAGTAAAACACGATCCGCAAAAGTCTTCTTGCGCTTGGGGAGCACTTTTGTTCACACATACTCACATTTGACATTTTATTCATCCATCATTCTGTTGTCCATTCTTTTGACATCGTCCCTAGGAGAGTGACACTCCACTTCATTCGTATATTATACATGCTAAAAGGTTATGTTTAGAGGTTAGAAAACAACAAGGAATTTTGTCAAGCATTTTTGGAATGGTAGATGAATGATATGTCAAATGTGAGTACGTGTGAACAAAAGTGCTCCCCAAACACAAGGAGACTTTCGCGGATCATGTTTTATTTGGTAGTATTCCAAGGTCGTTTCCACGGGGAAGGAAGTAAACCGAGGGAAAAGTATTTTGGGAGAAAGAAAGTGTAAAATCTTTGATTGTTGAAAGTTGTTTGGTGAAATTGTTTTGATGCTAGTAAAATGAGAAATAAATGTTGGCAAATCCAAGAGGTCACTCCAATAGGAATATCGTCTCAACTCGAAACCCTCCTCCAATAGAGTATGAATGAACAATTGATTCGTAGGAAGCTAGGAATATGATTGGTGAGTATCTAAGTATAAACCGTGACTAGGCCTACGGAATATCAAAGACTCACCAAGTTATCCACCTTGAACCTAGTCAAATCGAACCATTGAACTCTGAAAGAGGGGAAGAGAATGAGTTGAAATGGTATATCCGAGTGGAGGTTCCTCTTGGTTTTGCCAACTAAGAGATTTAGCTATTCATGCTTAAAATAAAGACAACAATATGATGAGAAGACATTATGAAGAAATAAATACTAGCGTTAAGCATAAACGAAATGTATAAATATAACTTCCAGATAATCACATCTTACTAAAGATTGGATGAGAAACTACTCATTCTTCATAGCTTTGTTAAAGCTAAAAAAATGAGTGATGCTCATCCCTCAAAGTAGAGGAGTTACAAGGTAAAATATTTTACACAAGTAGCCGATCTTTGACAAAGAATGAGTGAATCACGTTCCAACCTTCACGGCTTGGGTAAAGCTCTAGAAAAGTGGAAGAGTTTCACTCTTCTAAGGCAAGAAGGAAGCTCAAGCAATGGAAGTAAAAGAAAGCAATAACACAATAAAAGACAGCAATAATACAATAAAAGAAAGCAATAAGCAATAAGAAAAACAATAATACTTTTGGAGGGTTTTTCACTACCAAAAGATGAATGTTTTACAACTCCTAAGGGGTGGTATTTATAGGCAACAAGGGAGGGTGAAAGTCTTGTTTGGTGGCTTTGAATTACATGAAAGTCTTGTTTGGTGGCCTTGAATTACATGAAAGTCTTGTTTGGTGACCTTGAATTACATGAAAGTCTTGTTTGGTGGCCTTGAATTCTTTGATCCCCCTTTGTTTTGAGTTTTGAAAATTGGCACGCCAGTAGTTTGTAGCTTTAATGCAATTGGCTCCTCAGTAGTTTGTAACTTTGACGCACAAACCCTGAAAAGAACAACTATTAATGCATTATCCTTTATTCACACACTAACCCTAATTTGACTAGTTTAACTTTGTTTAACTAATACAATTGACCTATTAACTTAATTAAATTATGCATTAATTAGGATTAATCATACCTCCCAACCTAAACATTACTAGTCCCTAGTAATAAATAACAACAGAACAAAATAAAATCACTTTCATAGATATCACGATTGCATTTAGCATGCAACAAGCCGTTAAAACCCTAGGTAATCCCTAGTGGACGAGTTTTGTCTCGTGAAGGTTTTCAGTGAAGCTACTTACAAAGTCCAATTAAAAAGATGTGTACATGTAAGATTTCTTGTCAGAATGAGTTAGCAATAGGATCGTTAAAACACACATCCCTTAATTTTGAATTGTTTCCCGAACACTTATCTGTCATTGGTACGTAATCTATACAAAAATAAACACTTGTTACATTGGTATTTGAAATTCCGTGTATAGTAGGAATGATCATTATAGTAGCAAGAATTTTTTTATAAAACAAACATTCCATTTTACCACCTTCCATGGATAGCTTTGATTTCTCAAACCTCTCTTAGAATTCTCTCAGCAAAAATTCACTCCAATTATGGTGACTTATCTCCCAAAGGGCATGTCCTCAAAGGATGGTCAATCAAAAAATCACATGCATAGTTAGAAAGGGAGTGAAAGTCTTAAGAAAGTAGACTAATCATGCTCTTGGCATAATCTCAAGGAAGAATATCAATGCAATTAAAGAAATACTATTTAACATATTCCAGTTTTCGGTCGACAACACACACATGCATCAGACTTGAGATCAATTAGGGCCTTGTATAAGTTGTAATGTGGCCAGAGGTCAGTGGCTAACGAAATGACGTCAATGGTATTCAAAAGTTATCCCCTTTTTAATATAGTGTAGCACACCTCTTTCTTACTTTTTGATCTTTTGCCTAGAAATGGTATTTCTTTCTTTCATTTTTCTCATTTTTCACTTTCTTGGCAATTCTCTATTTTTTTTTTCGGTTGTTTCCATCGATTTTTCATTGAAAAGTAGCCACCATCTTCTTTTCTACTTTTCTTGTCTTTCTGTATCATATCAATTTATAAGAGGGTGCAAGAAAATTGGATAACAATGTATGTTAAGTGTATTCTCTTGTGACTCGGTTATCATATGGATTTTTTGAAAAAAGAAATCATTCATTGAAGGCTCAAACATGGCTAACTAGGATATAATTTCATAGAAGCAATGGCTAAGGCTCAAAATCAACTCAAAAATGGCCTAAAATTCTTTCTCGAGTATGTGCCTATGTATGTGTCGCATGCAAAGGTTCCCTGTGGGATATGTCAATAGATCACTTTAGTTGCATTAATCAAAGCAAGTTTAATGAGATTATTCAAAATTTGAAAGTGAAAGAGCTTACTTGAGTAAATGTTGATTGTCTCTCAGAAAGTATGGCAAGGCTTATTACTTACCATGGTATTCTTCGTTATCTCCATTGGTATGTCAGATTTTCAAAGAATGTCGGTTATATATTAATTCTATTTTCGAGTCTGATCATTCTGTATCTTAAGATTAACAAATACCAATGTACATTTGACATTTAAGAATAAAAAAAATATCATTTTTCAAGGAAATGCGGGTTTTTTTTTTCACTCGAATAAAAATCAAAGTTATTTACATACACATTTATCTATGAAAATTGAAAGAAGACTAAATGCACACATTGAACTTGGAAAACTATGGCGTCTCAGGATAAGTCCCTACTGACACTACAGGTTAGCATTTTAGGACAATCTTTAC